TTAGCCCGCCCTTCTGCTTTGAAAAAGCTATTCAGCGGGCTTATGCAAACGACCTCGTGTGTGTCTGTCTGTGTGTCTGTGTGTCTGTCTGTTCCGCGTGGTATCGTGCACTCAGATACCACAAAGTGGTACATGTAACAAATGTTGGATAAACTGAAATCAGTGACAGCTATCACACTGCTAATTTTGTTCGGGAAGTATAGGTCTACACTTACAGTCAACAAAAACAATTTTGTTATACAATGTATTTGTGTAACACCTGTTACAGAAGGTAATTTGAAGAACACTGTTACGTCGTAAAATAATTCTTTTCGCCGATGTTTCAAACGCGCAGGAACGGAACAAAAAGCTTTGTATACAGGGAGTGGTTTTCAGTGCACTAGAAGGAATTTTGCCAGAAAGGTTTGGGATCTTCCACACGCATCGTTATGTTCCTATGCACTTGCATAGGGTGCCAGTCACTCTGGCGAAAGGCGAACCTCACTGTGAAAAAAACTAGAGGGAATTTTCCCCTCCCCGCGTGGCAACGTTCCTTTGCGAGCTAGTGTTCGGTAAATTTACACACCCAAATAGCCAGGAAATCCCCGGCCCACTGGAGGGGAAATTTACAAGCCAATGTGGTTGGGAAAGGAGTCTTTCTAACCCACCCAAGTAAATTTACTACGTGGGCAGGAAAGGATTCTCGACTGACTCACCGTCAGCAAATTTCCCATTGCGCGCGTGTAAGGATGACTTTCGTGCCACTCCACTAGCACGGAAATTGCCTCTCCGATAACAGTCCTTAGGAGAAAAGTGCGACGGACGGTTCCTTCTAAAACATACTGCGTAGAATTAACTGCCATTACCTGAAAGGAGTTTTAATTTAATAGAAAAAGCTGATTTTGTGGGAGACGCGCTGACTGAAACGCCATCTAGCGGCAGTCTATCGCGGGCTTCGCGCCGGGGTGGCCGAGGTTAAAGAAAGGAGGTGATTGGTGTGGGGTGGTGTGGCGTCAGTGTAGTAGTAGTCCGAACCCACGTCTCCTTCCAGGACGCTCTAGCAGTCACGAATTTGTGGGAAATTTGCACTTGCAGCCGCCGCAAGGAGATTTGCAGGCAGTGGGATGCGCAAGTACACTTTTCTACCCACGGCCGCGGGATTCCCTCGTCGGGTTGGGGAAATTCGCAAACGGTGGGTGCCGAACGGACCCTTTCTAGCCCACGTCGGGAAATTTGCAGTCAATAAAGTCAGTAAATTCACTTGCGTAGGCAGGAAAGGATCCTTTCACAGCGCAAGTGGCATGCAAAGGATACTTTCCATTCCAGTAGGTAAATTCCCAACCCATGTACTGCAAATCCCGTACCTTTGTACAAGAAATTTCCCCACCCAGTAGCTAGTAAAAATTGCTAATATTTTTGACAGTGGCTTTTTTCAGTATGGCTCTGACAACAATGCCCCTTGATTTCGTTTTTTTTTTTCTTTCAGGTCGTCGGAACGGATACCTGGAGGTCACTGTCACTAAACAAGTTGCAGATACCAGCTAACCTGTCGGATACTTTCAGGGCGGCACCTGTGAATGGTATTTTATCTTATATTTCATTGCAACGACGCTGAAAGAATGCTGTGATGAAGCGCGTTTTACACCCCAAGAGAGATTTTTGGCTGCTGGCACTCGACCTAGCACTTGACACTTGTCTAATGCGTCACACTTCACACCCCGTGGCAAAACGTTTAGTTATGGCCGGTAAAAGTTTTGAGTTCTAGCAATAAAGGAGTTTAGCGCCAGGCGATAAACACGTGTTGGGATATAGGCTAAGGTGCACCATCAAAATGCCTTAAGGCATTCCTTCCATCTCGTTGGGTGCCCCGAATGCTCAAATCGTTAGGCTCTAGGGCAGTTCCCTCTGATAAGTGGCGAATATTGTAGTTTTATGTCGCTGCGCCACTTGCCACCGCCGCCATTTCATAACTCGGCTCTGATTTTTGAAATGAAACTTGTCGTACGAAACGCACAAGAAGTCATTCCACCCAAGATCAAAAACTGTACTCTTTCACTTTCTGAACAAGCAGGCCCGCCCTTCCGCCAAACGAAGTTGCCAGCTCCGCTTCGCTCCGCCGGCAACTCCGTTCGGCAGGGGCCGGGCCTGCTTGGCCTGCCGGCGGCGATGGTCGGGCCTGCGGCCAGCTCCGCTTCGCTCCGCCGGCAACTCCGTTCGGCAGGGGCCGGGCCTGCTTGGCCTGCCGGCGGCGATGGTCGGGCCTGCGGCCAGACCATTTCTGTCACGCGATACTGAAGAACATGATCAAATGATGTAGCGGGCCTTCGGCGCGCTTAAACCCGTCACCTTTGAGTTTGCCCCAAAGACTAGAGAAAGGGATGTAACGGTGAAGCACCGCGACCACAACCCACCCTTCTGCTAAGAAAACTTTTTTGGGGGTGGGGGGAGAGTTTTCTTTCTATTTTGCGGTTTTTAGGACTTTTTCTACATCTTATTGTTCAGTATGGCAATTTTTAGCTTATTTTCGTCTAAAAAGACCCTCTAGCGGGTAAACGGTTAGAGATAGAGCAAAACGGACGAAATTTTCGCCCAAAGGACTCTGCTTGACGAGTTACCCCATACGAGACCATCCAATATTTTCGAAAACAAATAAATTTATTTTTGGGCCACTTTTGTGAGAGAAACTCCCTCTAGCGCCCAAACGGTGAGAGATAAAGCAAAACGGACGAAATTTTCGGCCAAGGGGCTCTACTTTCACCAGTTACGCTTTAGAGGATCATAAAACAAATATTTTTGGCAACTTATTTGGCCTTTCCTGTTTTCTTCGATACCCCCTTTCAGCCCCTTAGGGGTGGCTGGCAGGATTTGCCGTAGGCGTTTTGTTTTGTGGGAGTGAACCTTGAGATCCCCTGAAAATTTGAAGTCTCTAACACATCTCCTTCTTGTGGAACAGACAGACAGACA